CAAAGATCGGATAATTTTGGCCGTATTTAGTATAGCGTTCACATCGTATTCATCGCTAAAGTCTTGTAAAAGAGTGGGAATGAGGACCTCTTGTTGTGTCGATTCAATGCATACGAGTGTCTCAGAGATTGTCGATAACAACGATTCGTCACGACTTTTGCTCTCACTTTCGGATTTCGTCGACGAGTTACTTGAATACAAAGACATCGCTAAGTTTGTGGAAACAATTTTTTCGTCAAACCGTTATCACTAATGATTAGTATTTCGCAAATCTTTCAACAGTAATCATAATTAACGTACAAATCATTAAAACATAAGACTTTATGTCCAACAGATTTAAAGCAATTCATAACAATATTTCATTTGTTCATTCAAATCGTTTTTATGTATTATTCTCTCGTTAATTAATAATTGCTTTTATAAAAGGAAGTAAAAAACTTTGGAAATCAATTAAATGCAAAATTAATGATATTTTTAAAAGTCTTTATTTCTTATGACAATCACGGTGTAGGAAAATAAATTGATGCTTGAATAATTATCTTAAAATTTTCACTGATTTATTCATCTATAAGCTTAACAAATTAATTTAGATATTGATATTATTGCTAAATAAACACTAATTGAATTATGTTTTTAAAAATTATAATAACAACGTGCAATAATAAACCTTGAGGAATTACTATCCTATATATGACTTGAAGAAATTATGTTAAATGAAAAGTTATATTTATTATGCATTTTTAAGACTTTATTACGTCAATATAGTTATAGACATTAAAAAGGGTCAGTAGGCCTATGATATTAGGATATTTCATTAAATATCAAATATTTGTGATAACTATGAAATAACTGATAGATAAAAAATGTAGTCCTGAGGTTTTTATTTCATTTTTAATGATTACATAATATTGTACAAAACATCATAGAGTAAATTATTTACAAAGTCCAGTGTTTGCAACTATATTGTGAAACTGAGCATTTTATACTAGAAAAGTTTTTCCATAATTTGAATAATTAAAAAAATAAAAACATTTTATTAATTCTATATTAAAATCAATTAAAAGTTTGATATTTATAATTCCATTATATTTTTGAACATTTGTTTTAAAATTGATAAAAATTTATAATACAATAAATTTGTTATAAAAACTTATTTGATTGAATCAAAAATGTTTTGAATGTCACTTTTGTAATGAGACGTAATATTATTCCTCTTGAGCTTAAAGGCAGCGGTAATTAAATTATTATCTGTTGTCCACTCTTCTGGACATAACTTGATTTTGACGGGAATTTCAATTCGTTTCAAACCATTCATTTGAGCCCTATTTGTGATGCTGTCTTTGTGAAATAGCGTTTGTGACCCTAGTCTCGTATTGACAAGGGCTGATATTAAAACTCCAAAAGGATTAAAAAACGGATTTACATACTCTCTGAACAACAATCCTCACTAATTTCGCTAGTGTATTATGGCTTCACTATTGGGCACAACACACATATTTTCCACGTATTTGTTTGATTTAAGAGACGCTTCAATCTATGGATTAATAAAAATAAAATCAATTAAATGACAATATTTAAACAAATAATTGGTTTACTATTTAAATAAATAAATCCCGATAATTGTCAAACTTTGACAATTAATTTTATAATTAGATGTAAACTTATTCATACAATATTAAAATGTTTCGATTGTAAAAATACTTGTATGTTAGTTTGAGTACACGTATTGAGTACTGTATCCAACATTTAAATATAAGTTATATAATAATTACTCACTTTTCCTAATGAGATGTACTCTCCATTTGATAGTTTAGTCAAATCTTTCTTCCTATCGATTATCTTAAAGGATCCATCGGGTGATACCTGACCGATATCTCCCGTATAGAACCATCGCATGCCATCACTGTCCGTATAAAACGACTCGGCTGTCAGTTCCGGTGCCTTATAATAGCCAAGAGCTACGAGATCTCCTCCAATGACTATCTCCCCCCTGGGATTAGGCTTATCACTCGTCAAGTACCCGCCCTCTGGCCAGTCCACTAACTTTACATTCACGCCCTCCATAGGGATACCAACCGAACCATAATTGAGGTCTTCGGTGAACATTCCGATCACACCTCCACTCGTTTCAGTCGCACCGAAACCTAAACCAATATTAGTATTAAATTGTATTATTATTAAAACAAAAGTCAATCTAAAAGCAAACCTTGAGTGACTTGTCTGGCATTGAAAGCCGCCTTAATTATAGCCTGAGTTTTGGGGTTAAGAGGGGCGCCGCCAACCATAATGTACTCCATTCTGCCACCGATTGCTTCGGCAATCTTTCGACACAAGAGTTTGTTGACAATCGGAGTGTCAAACCCTCTACTCTTCCACCGAATCTTATATTGCATTAAATACGTGAAAAGTGGTGCAGATATGGAGGATCTTGCGTTCAATTTCTCGTATAATTCTTTCAAAATCCGGTCCAATACTAGAGGCACTGCTGTCATGAATGTCGGACTAAGAAGTTTTGCATCTCCTGTCTGTCCCTTTGCCAGACCTGGCGATGAGTCGGTCAATGTAAACGGGGAACTGTAGCCCACTCTAATACCGCCTTAATTGTAATAAATTTCTCATTAAAGTCCAAAAGTATTAAAATAAACAAATTGATAAAAACTAACCGAAAAAGAAATACATTTCAAAAGAATAGCCCAAAATGTGTGCCAATGGGAGGTAAGACATATAAATGTGATTCTGCTGTTCATCAAACATATTAGGCGTACAATTGCTGAGAAGTAGTTTTAGATTAGCCATCAATGACTTGTGAGATATACAAACAGCCTTTGGATTACTTGTTGTTCCAGAAGTATACATAATAACTGCCGTCTCATTGATATCTTTTGGTAAATCATAGTCGAGAATACTTTTGTCTTTAGCACCCATTCCCTCCAATTCATCCAGTGATTTGATACAAACATGATCAGGGCAATTGTCATTTAATTGATGGTTCATATTCTTTATATAAACAATTGACTTAAGACTCGGCACTTCATGCAAGAAACCCTTCAATTTAGGCAATAAATCAAATGTCGTTATTATGGTTTTGGCTTCAGTTTGGTTTATACCATATATGAGACCAGATTCCCCTT